ACTGACATAAAACAACACTCGATTGACCAATATCAAACCAGTTGATGACGCAATCTACATCCGACTTTGAACAAGCGTATTGCTCCGTTTGTTGTACGATGCACGACATGATCAGTTGGTGATATCATGCAACCATGCAATTGACAAGTGATTACATGTACAATCAACACTGGTTGTTATCATGTCATTGATGTATATGGAACAAACCATGCCAATGTATCAATCAACAGTCCAGTAACTGTTGATGTAATACCCAACACAGTATACACAAACATGCAATACACAACCAATGATATGATTGTTGACCCATTCACAATACTCGACAAATATCAACACACCAGAAAGTTTAAATTTATTCAAAATCAAATTGATTGGCAAGTCATCAATCTGAATCTGCTTTTGGTTCTTCAAATCTCAAACCATGCCTTTTCATAAACTTTTTCAAGTTTCGTCTGATATCGTGTACTCTTGTAACTGCCTTTTCATACTCTTGTTTCAATTTCTTTTCAGTGTCTGGATCGTACTTTGATCCTGATATTTCTTCTCCTCTTGATAGCGCTGACCATTGTTCGAATCTAAGGAATTCATAATCACAATATTCTTTGAGTTTTTTCTTTCGTATTTCTTTAGACTCTACAAGCATTTGCTTTATACGATTAAAGGTTTTTTGATATCTTCCACTTAATACAGCTATTTGATTTGAAACAGTATTTGAAGATTCGTTATGATTGACTGGTTGTTTCCGACTTTGTTTGTAAGTGCTTGGACCAGCTACATCAATTGGTTGTTGGTTTTGGTCGGATGTGGTTAGATCAATTACATCAATTATGCGCTTTCGGCCTTGTTTGAATATATTTGGACCAGCTACAATCACAGTTGGTCGCTGGTTTTGAGTGGGAGTATTTGAACCGGGTTGATCCATTGGTTGTTGCCGGTATCGGTTAGAAAGGCTTAAATCCATTGGCTCTTCCTGATATTCATCATAAGTGTCTGGATCAGGTTCATTAGTTGGATCAGACACTCGACTGGAAGTGCCTGATGTGTGGGTTGAACGATCGTTACCAGTCGGTATCAGTATTGCATTAGCAGTTGTTGTTACAGTCAGTAAGAGTAAAATATCAACCAATTTCATCAAACCAATCAATGGATTCAAACTATTAATACAAAAGTAGAGTGTCGAGACTGATGTCGATTATAAAACTGAACATACTCGATTGTATTTGTATGTTTTGTATAGCAAACCAACCCTTTTAGTTTAACCAATTATACAGGGTTACTTGATTGCTTGTAGTGAGCCACTATCAAACTAGACAGTGTGCTGCTCCCTAATCATAATATCATATTGATCAATTTGATGATCATGTTGATTGAATTATGCTTTTACGACCCTTTGATCAGGTATATTGAAAAGCACACCCTTCATGAGTGTTGTATAATCGCAAACGCTTTGTTTTACAACCTTATTCATCATGCAGTGACTTTGATTTGCATTGCAATATGCAATAGTTACTACACATTGACTGCATTGCGTGTTTGATATACAACCATCATCATATGACACACAATCAAACTATAATGTTGAATCTACACTTTGTGCACATGTGGCATGACCATGCATTGTGCAATCACCAAACTCATACATTGCAGTCCACATGTTTGGCTCAACTACTTTGATGCTGTCAATCAAACCATAGTTTTAAATACCAGTTGAAATCATCAACCAAATGCGAATCAAGTAATCAACCCGAGATCGGGTATGAAAAGCTAAAAAACCAGTGAAAGAGTCCAAGAACAAGAACAAGACAATAGTGCAATGACCATTATCAGCTCGAATGGTTTCATGTTGCATCAAACCATTGAAAATGCAGGTTTAAATGCGGTTTTATCCAGATCTGTACTGGGTTTCATTAACAACCATGACAACTCTGATTGGTATGGTAAATATCCAATATCAACTTTCATTCCAATGTCTAAAACACACCAAAAAATACAAAAATCTGACAAGTTTAAAAACACTTGCAATACTCCATCCATGACAAAACCAGTCCAATTTAAAAAATGGTTTGAAACTTGCATATTTCACTCGACTAAATAAAAAGTTTACATGTGTTGATTGAAATAAATTTAAACAATAGTGTATAGGATAGTTATATGCAAGTACTGTATTTATTCAAACATGATTTGATGATGCAATTAATCATACATTCAGCGACGTTTACAGCCCATTTCAACTCATTGTAACACTCCAAGAATTGATTGTTGCTCCTTTCATCTGTGTAGCAACATCTGACTTGAACATGAGATTGACGAAAAACTGTTCCGTCTTGGTTGTCACTGGGAACTTTTTGACAAGTGCTTCGGATCCAGAAATACTATTTGTAATTATATTACCCTCTGGACCAAGCATATTCAAAAGCGATTCCACATTGCCATCCGCATCTGTGACATACAGTCCTAAAAAGTCGCTATAAAACTGTGATTCAAGTCTGGCATCAATTTCAACAGTGATGTTGGATCCAACTGGTGCAGTATAGTATGATCGAATATCAGTCTCTATTGCAGGACTGTATTGTATTCCGTCGCCAATAACCCATTTACCATTGACCGAGTTCCATCCCTGTGACTTTTTGGTAAATGGCGAGTTGTATATTCCAACCGATTTACTGGTACCATTAAACTCCCATTTGATACCACGTTCAAGCTTAAAATGGTCTTGTTGTTTTGGAATGCGACTGATATGCTTATGTGTTTTGAGAACCTGTTTGCCGTTGTTTTGGCCAATGATACTGACCCGAGTATTACCAAGATCGTTGATTACAGATGCCAGTTTGAACGAGTGTTGACTTTTTATGTCGCTTTTAAAATCGGCAACTGAAAGTGATTTGCCAGTGTCATCAATAACTGACAGTTGATTGATTCCTTGAACTTCTACATCAATGGTTACGTCACTGCTAGTGGTGTTATAGTTGGTAAGTTCAGAAACAAAGTAAAGATTGTTCAGTCCAGTTCTGACACCCAATGTTTTGAGCTGATCGGCAATACGGTCAAATTGAGAATTTTCAGTGGATCCAGACAATAGATCCGTCAAACGGGGACGTACAATATAGTCGGATACGACACCGGTATCTTCGATCAATTGACCTTGATGTTTTCCATTACGTACAAGTTGTCGAACTCCGATTGTAAGAACGTTGGCATAGCTCTGTCCAGCTGTTTCGTCGAACAGTTCTTTGTAATACGGCATTGGCTTAAAATCGACGTGATTGAACACAAGGAGTTCTGAATCAAGCCCAAACATGTCGGCACCACCACCTCCAGTCGTTCCATCTTCACCAAAAACATAGCCAATTTCGAACGACTGAAGTGCTGCTGAAAACACTTCGCATGCAGAGTAGCACATGGCATTAGTAAATGCACCAACAGGTTTGAGATAGGCTTGACCATACAAGTTTGACTGATTATACGAAGTTCTGTCATGATCAATAGAATACTTGCTACCAGGTGGAGTCTTGTACCATGCTGGATTAGAAGTGTCAAAAAAGTACGTGCCATTAACCAGAGTGTTGTATGCGACAGAGTTCATCAAGTATCTCATTGGCATCGGTTGAAAATCAGGTTTGAAAAGTTGTAGAATGGCATTGGCAAACTCACCACTACCACCTCCATTTGCACGGATATCAAATACAACAGCATTGGTGTCTTTGAGCACAGTACTAAGAAGTTTGTGAATTTCACGAACAGCCTCCACATCTGCTAGTGCACCAGTTTTAAGGTTTGTTGGCGAAAAATCCTCCAATTTAATAATACCAAGATTCTTGGATTCGGGTTTCCAGATGGTCCAGCTGATGGTAGACACGCTGGCGTTTTGGTACTCGAGATCATTATTTTTTGATGGCTGTTCAAGTAAAATCTGATCAATTTTTTGCTTTTTATAATGGTACTGGGATACCATCGATGGAGTCTTGACTTCTTTCTGAGTTTCGAGTTGAGGTTTGGCTCCGGTATCGGAAACATCAACGCCAGCGTCAATTATACTGCTAGAGTTGGTAGGCTGAGGTGTTCCAGGTAGAGTTTTTCCAGAAATTTTGGCATACAATTGACTAGTAATACTCCAGCATGATGACTCAAAACCAACAACCCACGGAGCTTCAATGTCGTACACTTTTCCAGTGTCTTTTGATTTGAGCTGATATTTGATCGTATCAGTTTCTGGCAAAGGAGTGTATACACCAGGACGATACGTCATGTAGTCAAGAGCACCATGCTGGCCACCATAATCATTGGCACCACCTGTTTTATCCTGGTTCAAGTTCCGATAGTCAGCAAACGGCATACCATCAACAAGAAGTAATTCGTCGCCAACTTTGATTTGGTCATATTCCTTTCCAAAAAAAGCACGCAAATCTTGATTCTTTGTGAATCTTTCAAAAACAACGGTTGGCTTCTTGACCATATCTGCATCGCCCTCGATAAATTTGAAAGAAAGACCAGTTGTGGCAAAAAAACAAGCATATGGTCCAGATGGCTCAAAATGGGTATGATGGTCACGCATGCGAGTAAACGCACTCAAGAGTTCAATCTGCATCTCAGTATCGGTAAGATTGGATGCATCCAGTTTTGCACGCAGTTTCTTGATGATCGGGAAGGGATCGGCACGCTCACCATAGTTTTTGATCTTAGATTCATAGTTGGACCACAATTTCAAACCATTTTCAACATTGGTCAGCACGACGTTTCGTTGTTCGTCAGTGTATGGCATAAAAACAAATCTGCCAGCGTCACGGTGTTCTTTGATAAAGGCCAATGTAGGCATGGATTCTATAATGTATGCCAATTAGTAAGTTTTGAACGATTGCACAATCCAAACATTGACAAACCCAACATAAAATAGACTGATCAACAGATTTGCATACCAGATTTATTTCCTTGAGCATTGACAACAAACGCAGCAGAAGCAATGGCTAGTAGTGAAAACTTCATCGTGGCTGCAGTATACTATTGAACTGTATTTGGCAAGCGTATCAATACTATACGGATTGAGTTGTTGATTTGTAGCAGTCTGATGATGTTTGATAGTGGCTGACAACTCATTTTTATATTTTGATAGGTTTGACTGGCAATACTAATGCTTGATATTCTTGCATCTATATGCTATGCTTTGCTTTTATTAAAATGCTTGATATCGAGCAAGATAACGAAATCGAGGTATATATTTAGAACAAATAAAGCAACGAATTTGTAGATTAACCAATTTATCCATATTACCACACATGCCATGTCAATTGTATTTTACTATCCAACACAACATCCAACTCAAGCTGCTGTAAATACAGTCCAATCAATATGATGATTGATGGTGTATTGACATTTGTGGATTATGCCAGTCCGTATATCAAATATACAGAACATATTGGCTTGTCAATAGATAATCACTTGTCAGCTGCAGCACTGCCAGCAGCTTTATGCTCATTCAGTCTTGGGTCTGGCGTGTGGTGCTTACATAGGTCTGTTTAACAGCATTTCAACCATTGCAATTGCACAGCTTGCATGCTAATGGATTGCTTGTATACCACCATGGCTGTGTATGTTATATGCCAGCTATGTCGAATAATTGAACGTAACAAAATGTGCTGTATTTATCCATACACTATCCAATCATCATAATTTGCTTTTTAGTAAATGGTTGTCAAGTATCTTGCTCAATTCTGCTGTTTGATCTGTATTTTTGAACTGGTTGCTTGGCTAGATATGTTATTTTGGGTTGATGAGTGTCAACCCTATGAGTTCTGTTTGGTCAGGGTTATCATGCAATTGATTTGCTGTTTGTGAGCAATGTGTTTGGATGGCAATAATGGTGTTTAAAACAGCCATTGTATAACATGTATTGACTCGAAAGCAAAATGGATCCACAAACTGTCTGGC